TATCCCCTGTATATATATATATATACTAATTTATAGTCTTTTAAACCTCAATATCTGCATTTTTTCATAAATGACAAACTATTTACAGCTGTACAATTAGTTTATCAAATTCAATATTTAAGATATTTGATTTAAAGCTCTTTCTTGACAGTTTCAAAGTAATTAACGATAGGTTAACAACATACTGGAGAGGTGCCTTTGCCTTTGTACCATCTCAGATGAGCTCCTATCTGATACATGCAAATCTAATTCCTCCCTAAAACCTACAGTATTGCATGCATTATTTTATATAAATGTTCTCAATACTATAAAATGATTTAAACACTGCAAAGAAGGCGGCTGTTAAATTATTTCACTACACTTAATAATGTTTAACTTAAGATGTGTTAGACTTCAAATTTTAAAATATTTATAACTATATTTTTAACGAATCAAGAAAAAAAGGACCACCTGAACTTTGTGTCCCCCTAAAAAAATTTGAACGGAGGCTATGCCATGGATCCGCACACTGAAAGCGGCACCCCAGTGTCCAGTGGCCCATCATCATCATCAGACGACGCTTCAACTTCTGTCCCAGTTGTTAATAACGGGCCCGGGGTGGCGAAACGACACGGAAACTCTGTCACTGTCGCCCCAAGCCCAAACACAGTGATACAGTCTTCTTACGGGAATCCTCCAGCGGCAGCATCCAGTGCTGGTCCCTCAGTGACAGTTGTCAGGCCATCTATGCAAACTGCTGGAACAGGGTTAACTATTAACGGGAGTAATAACAATAACACCGTTTCGGCGACTGTAGCCAATGTAGCGACCCCGGGAATTACTACTAACGTTACTACTACTACTTCTACTACTACAACGACCCCTCTTTTGATGAACCAGAGTCCTGCTTCTGCCTCAGCGAGCAAGTCCGAGGCTACTAAAACTATCATCCAGCTCGCCGGCACCATGACTCTCGGCCCTGGAGTGGCCAAGGGGGCTGTTTTGCAGGGGGTTGCGAGAACTGCGGCTCCGGTAACTGTTGCAGCAGCAGCAGCGGGATCGAGTCCAGCCATCAGGGCCATTGCGCCACAGGTGTTAGCGCCCCGACTCCCTCAGAGCACTCCGGGCCAGAACATCCATAACATCCAGCTACCTCCAGGTACCTCACTCACACTAGCACTCCCCTTGCATGTGTGTATAATGATGTGAATTTGTGTAATAGAGGAAGTTGTAGAGATTTTAACAGCCATCTGTAATCTCGTGCGAAGTTTGTGGTGCACACTGTAAGTGGTGCATACAACAACAGTAGAGCAGTTAAAGTTCCTGAAATGTATATAAAGTATAGTTCTCCTTACAACTGCACATCCTTCATACCTGCATATCTTTCTTTATTGTGCACGACACAAAAGGAGATCTTCAGACAGCTTCATTCACTTTCACTGCACGGGGAAAAAAAGGAGATGCATTTTGCTTAACATCTCCTTTTGTGCTCAGAAGAAAAAATCGTGCAGGTTTGGAACAACACGACAACGAGTAAATGATGGCATTTTTGTGCCTTTAACTGTGCGTTCAAAGTATAGTTAGAAAGCATGTTGATATCAATATATCATCTTCCAAGTGAGTTTTTTTCATCTTAAAATCAACACATTTTAAGGTGTTTTACCAGTAGTAAGTTAGCTGAATTTGAAGGGAAATGTTGAGTTGAAGTTTGGCCATAGTTATAGCAAATATGATTCCTTTCAAACGTTTGGTAAATTCTTAGTTATTATCTTAACTTGAGGTTGAAGGTTTAGATTCTTCCATTCAATTTCAGTGCTAAAAAGTTTTAAATGTAACTTCCAGTGATTTTATAAGAACTTTAAAATGCTAATATATACTGGTTTCAGTTCTTTCTGTCTCGCATTCCTCTATCTCTCTTCTCTTTTAAGGGGCAGTTACACTTCTCTTTGAGCATGTAAAATTTCTTCGGATGTCACGCTCTGCAGCATCTTTTTTTTTTTTTTAAACATAAATTCATCATGTAGCTAATGACTAATAAAAAATACAAAATTTAAAAAGACACAATCCACTACGAGGTCATGCTTTGACGTAATAATCTTCTATTGGTCACACGTCTTGGCAAGATACAAATTTGCAGGATAAAGTTCACCAAACTAGAAAACTGAAAGTTTGTTGTATAAGCCTGCGTTTCCTTTCCAGTCTTCAGCATTCACATACATATGAATGAAAGTCAATGGAATGAAAAGTGTAGTGTGACCGGCCTTTTACTGGGTGATTTTAGTGAAGACCTCGACACTATTCTCTTACTTCCTCAAAGTCACAAGCACTGGTACTTGCTTCAGGAAATGCACATAAAGTTATTCTTTTTCTAGTGATTTTTCTTTTGACTGTATGCTCTGCTCATTCTGACAAGCCTGTTGTCTGGCTAGACAGAATACTTGACAGATTTTTCTACAAGAGGCCATCTGGATTCTCCAACCAACAGTTTCTGTTCAGAACACATCCGTTGGTTCACACGGTAACAGAGACGGAGTGTGTAGGGTTCTCAGTGTGCTGTGCAAATATAGGCCACCAACTGTGCGCATTATTCTCCGTGCCTCTAAGCAGGGCACAGTTGCCAGACTTGACTCCAGTCAGATCAATAGGAAAATCTCACTAATGAATAACAATTTACACAGGAAGTGATGTCAGCCTTTCTATATGTGTCATGTTTGTGTGTGCAGGTATGGTGTTGGTGCGTAGTGATAGTGGTCAGTTACTGATGATCCCACAGCAGATGTTGGCACAGATGCAGGCCCAGTCTCAGGCCGCCCGTCCTGCTGCCCCCACCAGCACCACCCCTGGGCAGATCACCTCTGCACAGGTAATACCCTCTGACCGCCCCCGAACTCAACTGACACCTGCAGTACATATTTCAGAATGACTGCGGAATAATAAATATATTTATGGTATTATATTATTATATAGACTTATATAGTTTATAATATGGGGTATGCTTTTAACAATAGGATTTTTTTTTCTGTTTGGCTGAATAGCTATTTATCATACTTGTGGTAGGATCAGTGACAATTTTGGAAAGGCAGAAAACATTCTAAACTAAATTCTGAACCAAATTATTATTATTTTTAAATACATTAAAATTAAGAAAAGTTATTTTGCATTGTAATACTATTTTACAATTTTATTGTTTTTTTAAATAGTTGTGTAATTCCAAATGTGTATTAATTAGGGGTGTGTGATATATATAATCTGCGATAATATTGTAATTGCTGTTTCAACGATGTGTGATTTAACGTTATCGAGTATTTTGCAAAAACCATTCAAAACACCCCTACAGAGTGCACGCATACATTACGTGAAGTCTAGACTAGTGCGCGTATATTAGAGTGCGTTCTTTCATTGCATGATTCAGTTTATTAATACGTTGACATTCAAAGTATCTTTTAATATTTAAATCATTTCAAATATCAGTATTCAATGTTTAATGTTTAATATATAAAAAAAAATATGCCTTTGTAATTGCAGGTTAAATACATTCATGTCTTGCATTAAACAGTGTGTAAATACATCTAAATGCCACTTCAGATGCAACTTCTGTGTTTCCTCTGCATTGCAAAGATGAATTTTGTTGATACTGATTTCATTTGCTTGGTAAAAGCCCAAATGTCTTATTATTCTAATTCACTGATTAAATGTAAGAATTTGACTCAAAAGATAATGGACACTTTTAGAAAAATGGCTTTATAAAGGTAGAAAAGCCCATAAAATGCAAAAATCAGTTTAAATTTATTGGAAAATATTAATTTCTATCAGTGTGAACTGACCACCACACAGAACATGAAGAATATCAAAAACTTTAGGAGTCAGCTGTCCACGGTAGTCCTTAAGGTACCAGCACAATAACACACTCAGCAAAATATCGTCTAATTATCGTTATCGTAGATATTATTTTTTGTCAATATCGCACACCCCTAGTATTAATTCATAAATACACTATTGTTAGAAAGCAGTGGAATATGGTGTAAAATGTTACTTTTATTCAGTAACAGTGTTTTATTCTGATTTGAGATTATTCATTTGATCACAAAAATGCAATGTTTTAAAGCATAAAATGTAGCGAAACACAGCATGGGTCCAATGGGGTATGTGAAAGTTTGTCAACTAGCAATAAAATTCTCTCACACTGGCCCTGGGACATCAAGCCATCTGTATTGTTGAGCAAGTTAGCTATTAACTAGTTGGTTCCATTCTTTTTAATTAATTCTCCATGTCAGCATTTGCTCATTGATGTCTGTCTGATATTTGCAGGCACCTGGAACTCCTCTGATGGCCCGACAGGTGACTCCTACCACCATCATAAAGCAGGGCTCTCCTACAGCCAGCAGCACGGCCACTACCACACTCCAGAGACCACCTGTACAGGTAGCTATGAAAGGCACATCATGTAGAAACAGTCCCTTTAGAAATGACAGGAATCAGTCTGTGCTGTAAGGTGTATTTCTGAGGTGGCTGTTATCTTCTCTCTCTGTACTCCTTCTGTCTGGTGTCAGCAGGCCTCCTCTGTAGGTGCAGTGTTGTCAGTGCAGGCAGGAACCGCCCAGAGGACTGTGACTGCTGCCACAGGGACCACCGTCTCCTCGGCAACGGTGAGAGGCTGCACTAACTTAGCAGTCACACAAAGACACGCTGGTTCACAACCAAAGAAACGGTCCTGAACGTTTAGCTTCATGCTTAAAGGCTTCTCGAAAGGTCTGTAAACTGACCTGATTAAATATGGTAAAAAGGAGTTTGGAGATTTCCAAGTGCAAACCTAAATGAAATGTCTGTTCTCAGAGTGGGAATCCCCTGATATCCCCAACTGATGCAAGGCTCATGCCATTAAATCTTAACCTGAACATTTGTATGCATCCAAGGTACGGATGCAAGATAACCTTAAGCTGCTGCAGAGTAAATCTACATTGTTCTAATGCAATCACTTTTCTTTTTTTATAGGAGACAATGGAGAATGTAAAGAAATGTAGGAACTTCTTGTCCACGCTGATAAAGCTGGCCACTAGTGGTAAGCAGTCATCAGAGACTGTCGCTAACGTTAAAGAGCTGGTCAGGAACCTGCTGGTGAGTTTCAGAGGTTGAGTGTGTTTGCATGTTACTAACTCGGTGAAAAAATGTTGACATTTTATCATAATTGTGCAAGCTGTTATTTTTTAAAATGTTGTGTGTAAAACCTGAATTGAACAGATTACCTTTGTCACTTTGTTAAATGGGTGTTTCATAGTCTACCCCTGCAGTGGGGTCCAAATCTGTGACCATTCATAAAAATGCTTCTATTTTGTTCACTACTGTTCAAAAGTTTTTTGTTTTTTTTTTACACATTTTTTAAAGAAGTCTTTAATGCTGACCACGGATGCATTTATTTTATCAAATATGCAGCAAAGAGTAATATTGTTGTACTATATGCAATATTATTATTATTATGAAATATTACTGAAAATGACCAGTTTATATTTTAAAGCAGCACTATGTAACTTTTTCTGTGTTCAAAATTTGCAAAATGTATATATAATGAGAGAGTACATCATGAATTCATCTTCCAAACTTCGTTTTTGTCTTATTCCGAATCACTACGGTACAGTTATAATAAGTACTTATATTTGGACTATTGTAGCCTGGTCGGGTCGCCACCGCTGCGGAGTAACACATACCTGCGTGAATCGCCATAGACATAAACTTAGAGAAGTAGCTCTAAGGTTGGAATGTTCTTCCGCGGGATGTGTGCAGTTCTGTTTATTAACCGCTAGAGCGCCAAAAGTTACATAGTGCTGCTTTAATATATTTTAAAATTTAATTTATTCCTGTGCCATTACTCCAGTCTTTAGTGTCACTTCATTTCCTTCAGAAATAATTTTAATAGACTGATTTGCTCAAGAAATATTTCTTATTATTATCAATGTTGAAAACAGTTGTGCTGCTTAATATTTTGGTGAAAAACATGATAATTTTGCTCAATTTAATGTGTCCTTTCTGAATAAAAGTATTAATGTTTAGTGTAATATGTAATAATTTATTCTTATAATAATTACATACATTTTAAGATTTTTAATTTAATTAATACAATTGAACCATTTTTTTTTTTATTTTAAATGAAAAAATTATATTATCAAGCATAATTTCATTAAAAAGTGTAATTGAAAAATTAATATGGTTTCTGAATAATTTATTATATTGTTTGCCTGCAGAAATGTACTTGAGCTGCATGAAACCTGATGATCATGATGTGCTTTAATGGAAACGTTCTGAAGTTTTATTTAAAAATGTTCAGAAGCTCACAAATTATCTTAAATGGAAATAGTAAAGAATCTTCATTTTACACTGTAACTTTTCTTTGTTTGACATTTTTTTTAAATGTTCTAAAATGTAAATTAATATTTTAATATGGTTTCAGACTTTTGAACCCACTGTATTAGTCATTGGTCGTGGGGGATATGAACCTCTAAATATGCTAAAATGTCCCTATGTATGAGTTGTTTTTGGTGTTTGTCCCCTCAGGAAGGGACAATTGAAGCAGAGGAGTTCACCAGCAGGCTCTACAAAGAGCTCAACTCCTCTCCTCAGCCTTATTTAGTGCCTTTCCTTAAGGTAAAGATCTTAAAATTGAATGAAAATGCAACTCAATTCATGTCATTCGGAACTAGATAATTATATAGTAATTAACATTTAATAAATTACTGTAAGCATCTACTAATTGGAGAAAAATCATTTAAGAGCAAACTGGGGTTAAGTTTATGCAATGTTTATTGAACAAGATTTTTATTTTATTTAGCCCTGTTTCACAAAGCACATGTAAGCAGCGTGGTCATTTTGGTGGTTGTGTTAACACTCTGCAGCATTCACCCTGCCTGCTTAGTGCCTAGGCAAATGGAGTTGCTTTAAATCATTATTTGCTTGTATGACGATTAATTGCCAGCCAAAACTTTATAATCGGGACAGTCCTATTTCCCACAATTAATTCCTCCTTTTCCATGTGTTTCTTCAGAGGAGTCTTCCAGCTCTTAGACAGCTCACTCCTGACTCCACAGCCTTCATCCAGCAGAGCCAGGCCCTCCAGGCGCCCACTGTGGTGCTAACCAGCTCTAACACGGCTGGTGCCACCGCCACAGTTCCCCGCACGCTCATCCAGCCTGCCCTCAGTAACTCCAGCCAGACTGCCTCTCTGGTAAACACAGACCTACATGCATAATTTACTTGATGTGTTGTTTAGTGAGGTGAAAGGACACTGTTGGGATTATTAATGCTAACAGCACATTGCAGGTAAAATTAGGTGTTTAGTCTTAATTTACACTGAGCTAAATCATTGGAGTTTAATTGCTTTAGTACATAGTTTAAATTGTTGAATGGTAATGCCTGTATTTGCCCTGTGGCAAAGTAAAAAAATCACTCTGAGCTGTGTCAATTAATACAATAGGAAACATCATATGCATATCATTATAACTAACTGATGTTTCTTACATATTAGTGTGGAATATTGACTGTCGGTGACAAAGAGTAAGGTTTTGTGCCTGATAATACTAATAAAGGACAAGGGTTAGGAATTGTGAACCAGTTCTTATTCAGAAACGGATTTATTTTAAAAAAAGCAAAATTATTTTTTATGACATAGTTTTGTTAATGTTTCTTGAATATCTGCATTCTTCACTAAAGTGGACAGATAATTGTTTCTTGCACTGCATCAACAAACTGGTATAGACGCTGCAACGCAACTGGTCAGTCTGATTCACAAATAAATGACTCTTCTTTTGTATGAATCTTTCAGAAAAAAAGATTAGCAGATTAGTTTTGAATAATTTTTTCTTAAAAAAAAAACTTTGTGTGACAACATGTAGTTAAAGATATGGATTCAAAACCGTTTTGTTGAAATAAGTCATATTGCAATTATAATAACATGGAAATATTTTATGAAACTTTGTGTTAATAAAAGGTTAAATTTCATTCTGAGTCCCATTCCACATATTATTATTAGTATATGATAACAATAATAATAATAGTAATTGCTATTATATGATATAAACAAATAATAATATTATTATAATTAGGTGCAAAGGCACCTCTTGTTATTATTATTACATTACTTAATTATTTGAAACAAATGTGAAAAAATATGTATACATTCTATTATAACAGTAATAAATATGAATTCATATATAAACAAATATTTAAAAACAAAATATACATGATTAATGACCGTTCTATCAGCTGGCCTAAAATTCTCTCATCGGTTGTAATTATAGAATTGCATTCAATGTTGTTGTTCAGGTATTGCAGCCTCCACAGCAGGGGGCAATAGTGAAGCCCCCTCAGGTTACCCTGACAACCACTCCCATGGTGACACTCAGGGGTCAACCCCACAGCAGCCACATAGTGGTGGGTCAGCCTCAGGTGCAGCTCAAACAGATCCAGACAGGTGAGTGTGTCCGTCAAATCCATCACTGTCTGTTTTGTTTCATAACATAATGACACAAAACGTAACCTCTCTCTCTTTCAGTCGCTGTGAAGCATGGTGTTGTGAGTAGCACTAAACTGGCTCCGGGCTCTGTGTCTGTAGCGTTAGCTCAGAAGAATAAAACAAAGGATGGTGCTGGAGGAACTTTCAGGTTTGTGTTGTGTTCATTTCACTTTAACGTTTACCCAGGAGACATTGTGCACAACATACATGAGTAGTACACAAAGTTTAGCTTAACTGATTGGGATGAAATGATGTTGCATTTTCCTCAAGGTTAATTCATTTCAGGCTGTACACAGTAGTTTGTGTGTGAATTATGACCGTTACAGTGCCATTATCATGACCATAGGTCACGTAACAGTGTAATATACATTTTTATACTGTGAACCAGTGTTATTTTAGTATTATATACTTTTAGCTATTATTTTTATATTTTTTTTGATAGTTTTTATTTCATGTCAACTTAATTATTTTCTTTATAAGTATTTCTGTTTAGCTTTATTTCATTTAAGTTTTAGTTTTAAGTAATTTTAGTAATTCAACTTAAATGTATTTTATTTCACTTAGTGGTCAAGCCAACATTTATACTTTTTAAAAATTTTGACTTAAGTTTTTTTAAATCTTAATATTTTTATTTTATTTTATTTAAATTAATGAACTATTTTAGGTTGTAGTTTTGGTTGACAATAACAACATTGTACTGAACATATAAATGATTAATTATTAAAAAAAAATTACCTTATAAGAGTTCTAAGATTAACATGATTTATTTAAAATGTTAATAGATATATTACACAGATATATTATATACTTTTATATACTTGAAAGTATGATAAATTGTAATTTGAGTAGTTATACAAAAGAGTTACAGTATAGTATACTGTAGGTATAGTTTTGCAGCATTTGTAAAACTAGAGAAACAGACTCTCAAACTCTTTCTAACATATATTCTTGTATGTCTAAATCTGTCCAGGGATGATGATGACATTAATGACGTGGCCTCAATGGCAGGCGTTAATCTTTCGGAGGAGAGCGCTCGTATCCTGGCCACCAACTCAGAGCTGGTTGGCGTAGTCACGCGGTCTTGTAAGGATGAAGCTTTCCTCTCCGCCAGCATGCTACAGCACAAGATACTAGAGATAGGTGAGACTTCTAGTTACAGAAAAATCTTGTATTCGATTTTACTACAATGTACTGTTTTACCAGAGCTAACAGTTGTTGTCCTGTATGTGGTCAGGCCAAAGGTTTGGAGTGACAGAGCTGGGTCCCGAGGTTGTGAACATCGTCTCTCATGCCACTCAGCAGAGACTGCAAAACCTTCTAGAGAAGGTCTCATTGATCGCCCAGCAAAAGAACATGACTTACAAGGCAAGTCTGCTTCTGACCCAGTTGGGCTAGCTCATTAAAGTATGTTGATAGTAACATATTTTTATATTTCTTTACCACATTTTGTTGTACCCTGGATGTGTTTCCTTTATGTCAGAATCGGAATTATGAATCCAGAGGCTGTTGCGGGTTTCGGTCTCAAAAGCGCTCCATCCTTTGGGTGTCAGCTTTTGTTGTGAGCCTGTAAGGCTGTGTGTAATGTTAATGATGTGTGTGCAGGAGGATAGTCGGTATGAGCAGGTGGAGGATGTTCGCTCTCAGCTGAAGTTCTTTGAGCAACTTGACCAGTTGGAGAAACAGAAGAAAGAGGAGCAGGAGAGAGAAATTTTAATGAAGGCAGCTAAGGTTAGTAATCCACCTCCAGCCATACTCTCTCTCTCACACACACACACACACACACACACACACCTCTAATACTAGCATTGGCCAGAGGTTCTGATCATTGATTTAAGTTCAGAACAGGTTCAGTCTTCCAAACTCAGTGGTACAATTGGATTTTTTTTTCTCTCTCACACACTACAATGGATTTGATGCTTGCGATTCATTAACTATGATTAATGGCTTTATTTTATTTTCAAACAAGATACGCTATGATTCAGTGCGTCACAATGTATGGATTCCAAATATGATATTGAGAATAAAACAAGACTCCGTGTGTCAGGGAGAGAGTGAATCTGCAGTATTTGTTTCAATCTCTCTTGTTTCACTTCACTTTTGTCCAATACCACAGCTCATAGAAATGGCTCTAAGTGCACTGAGTCTCAAATTGAGTGCTTATTTAGACACTCTACTTTTTCAAGAACTGAAATGTAGGAAATTATATAAATGAACACACAAATAATAATAAAAGTGATACACTATCAACGCAGTATGATTAGCCATAAGTAAAGTAACGTACAAATGAAACGCCACCATTTATATGAATAATGTGAACATCAGCGTGGAGGAATGCAGGCTAGCATTACTTATAATTGCTCGTAATTTGTTATGATTTAATGATTTAATTATGATTTCTTTTATGATGTTAATTGTTGTTTGCTACATTTCAGGATTCTTTTTTAATCCTGCCTTGTCAAACTTAAAATAAATATCTTTCTATCTTGCTCTCTCTCTGTCCCTCTTTCTCTGTTTATACTCTCTTTATTTCTGTCTATCTTTATACATGTATACTACAGTTCAAAACTTTGAAATTAATTATTTTATTCAGCTAGGGTGCATTAAAATGATCAGTGAAGAAAAAGAAGGGACAGCGAAGACTTCTTACAGAAAAAGTCAAACAAAGAAATGCTGTTCTTTTGTACTTTCTATTGTATCACAGTTTACACAAAACCTTCAGTATTAATAAAAATAGTAAATGTTTCTTGAGCACCAAATCAGCATATGAATGATTTCTGAATGATCATGTGACACTGAAGACTGGAGTAATGGCTGCTGAAAATTCAACTTCCCCATCACAGGAATAAATTACATTTTAAAATATATTAAAATAGGAAATATTTCACAGTATGACTGTTTTTGCCGTATTTTTCATCAGATAAATTGGAAACTTCTGTCAAAAACAATACAGCATCTTACTGTGTCCAAATTTTTGAATGGTAGTATAAGTGTACATCTAAAAAGTGGGAGAAAGCTACATTATTCGTGTCATACTTGCATGTCTTTTTGTGCGAGTAAAGATCACATTTATACACTCATTATTTTGTTTATTTTCTTAAACAACAAAAAAACATTAAATTAATCACGATTAAATATTTTCATTGATTGACAGCCTTCATTTTTTCATATTTATTTGATTCCAGCAGATGTCTCTGTGTGTTTTGACTGTTGATCCTCTCTAATTGCTATTTATGTTTTGCAGTCACGCTCGCGACAAGAGGACCCCGAGCAGCTGCGGCTGAAACAGAAGGCCAAAGAGGTAAGATGGCACACTTGAGATGTTTATCTTGTCAGAGGACCATTGTGTTTGATTATGGGTCAGAGCTGATGTGTGTGTGTGTGTGTGTGTGTGTGTGTGTGTGTGTGTGTGTGTGTGTGTGTGTGTGTGTGTG